TATTGTTTCTTAACACAGCTTGGATTCCATGGCCTATCATTTCAGTCACTCTCTTGCCCATCACTAAATTTCCTGAGTTGTTCATTTTTCACACTTGCCTGAAAAAATCAACATCTCTGGGTAAACCCAATAGCACCTGGACTGCAGAGTACTTTTGGGGAAAATGACAGTCATTAGCCTCAAACAGACCCTCAGTCCAGCAATCCCACGTTTCTCTGGTTAGCTCATACTCCCACTCTCTGTGTTGATTTGTTCTATTGAGATAAATTTTTAAAAATCCATGTCCTGTTGATTTTGCTCTGAATTATCTGTTAAACCCATCAAGTTTGCTCCATCCTCACTACATCCACCCCAGTCTAATCCACCATAATCTCATGCCTGGATTACTGCTATAGCCTCCTATCTGATTTCCATACATCATCCCTCATTCCCTCCCAATTCATTTTCCCTGGTGTATCCAACGGCACCTTTTAAAACTTTTCTGTGGCTTTATTTTTTCTTTAAGATTATCTGTGGCTTTTTATTTTCTTTAAGATAATCTATGGCTATTTTCTTTAGGATAAACTTCAAAATCTGCAATGTGTGCTATGAGGCCTAGCATAAGCTGGCCCACACTTATTCTTTTTTCACATTTTGTTTTACCATCCTCCTCTGTCTCAAGTTTCAGGCACATTGGCCCAATGTCCAGTTTCTAGAACAATTTCCATCTCAGATCATTACATAGCCACGTGCCTATGCCCCTCTTCTCCACATTTAACTCCCAGACCCCCTGCCTTCTTCACCTGATTAACTCTTTCTTGCTCGCCAAGACTCAATTGAAATGTTGTTTTTTTAGGGAATTTCTCTTGATTGCCCAGGCTTGATTTGTGACCCTCATTATACATTCCTATGACCCCTCTGCCTGCACTTTTCTTTCATAACATTTGTCATAAGTATAACTACCTGTTCAACGTCTATCTTCCCCACTAGACTGCAAGCTTTATGAATAATTTTGTGCGTCACTATGTCCCCAGGCCCTAACACAGGACGGGAACACAATGAATGGATGTCTTCTGACTGCATCTGTGGGCACGTGCCTTCAGTGAACCACACTAAGGTGCTTCATTGCTCTCCCTGCAAAACAGAGGTCTTTTCCTAGTGCTCAGAAAATATTATGTAAATCAATAGATGTTTCTCAATTTACGCTTTTTTCTCCAGTTGCTATTTTGAAACTCTGGTTTGGGTCCTCACAAATACCTAGATGATCCCCCAGGTTAACAAAGAAGTACTAACCAAATAGCAATAGAAAGCTTGAAAATAGCTGATCACACACAGTCTTAGAGTCAGCCTTCCCCTGTTGATGTGCACCTGTGTTTGAGGTATGTTTTTAAAAATATTAAATATGTACAATATGCAGTATGTTTTCTGCTACTAAGGTTATTCTCAGATCATGCAATGATTACATATGTTACTATTTTGTGGTGCTCTACAAAAAAATTCCATGTCCTTCAGGTGCTCTTTACACTGTTGCTGTGAGGCCGCTTTGCGTTAACATTTCTTCTGTGCTGACAAGATGAGGATAAGACATCCCTGCCGTGATTCAGTGTCCAGTGCTCACTGCTTTAAGGAGATGTCTGTTTCTGTTGGATTCACCGCTTAATCGATAGCTTCAAAACAGCTCCCAGAATTCCACGTGAGTCCAGACTTATACAAGAAGGAAAAGGAGGATGTGATAAATGCTAACGGGGAAACACTTTATCATGCATTTCAGTATCATTCTGAGGACTAGAACTTTAGAAACATGTTTGAGGATAATTCTTTACAAATAAAGAAACTGGTCTGAGTTGAGCCCTCAGGTAATAAATGTATATTTTTGTTCATTGATTTGAAAGGAGTGAAAAGAGTGGAAGTCAGCAGAAATGTAATTGATATATTTTGTCTGAAATACAAGAAGTAGTAGATATCAGAAGAAAAAAACAAACTAAAGAAAAGAATGCCTTTTAAACTAAGAAACCGGAAGAATGATGTAAGAAATTACTACTTGTAACTACTCATGTTTCCTTACTTGCTTTGGCCACTAGGAAACTCAGAACATAAATGCATCTCTTCTTTAGTACTGAATAGATTCTTATAGCATGCCTTTATTCGTATAACTTTTGCACTGACTTCATGTTACTGTTCTGGCCTTGGCCGGGGGAGCGGGGTGAGGGGGGTGCAAGGGGGGATGAGGGTGGTCCTCTGCCTTCTAAAATTTAATTTAATCATGCATTTCTTTTTAAACATACATAATCTGACAGTTTCCATGGGTCAGGAGTCTGCGTACCACGTAGCTGGATCCTCTGCCCACATCTCATAGACTTGAAGTCAAGGTGTTGGCTGATGCTGCAGTTGTCATCTGAGGCTCTGGGTCCGCTTTAAGCTCACTGATTGTTGGCAGAATTCACTTTCTTGCACGTGTAGGACTGAGTCCTTATTTTCTTACCAGTTTTTAGCTGAGGCTTGCTCTCAGCCTCTGGAGGCTGTCCCTCCCCATTAGCATGGCTGTTTGCTTTCTTCCTGGAGGTTAGCGGCAATGCTTCACATGCCTTGAATCCTTATTATGCTTTAAATGTCTTTAACTTCCTTCTCTGCCATCAGCCGGAGAAAATGATCTGCTTTTAAGGGTTTCACCTGATTAGATCGGGCTCACTCAATCTACATATTTTAAGATTAATTGAATTGGGATTTAATTGTATCTTCAAATTCCTTTCACAGTGGTTCCTAGATTAGTGTTTGATTGAATAGGTTGGGGGTGGGGGAGGACTTTGAGGGAGGGTCATTTTTAGAATTCTGCCAATCATAATCCCCATAATGGAGGACTTTGTAGCTGTAGAAAGGAACAAGGGGAATCTTAGTACCCAGCTATGCAGTGATTGCCAACTATATTATCCTGAAAAAAGTCCCGTGTAGAACAATATTTATAGTGTACAACTTTTAGTATAAGATGGTGAAAACAGGAAAAACATATGCATTTTCAATATTTTCAAAAAGAAAAAACGGAAGGATAAAGAAGAAATTAACAAAATGGCAATTTATAGGAGTAGGAAGAGAAACAGGGGCAAGAATGGAAGCTAATCTTCTCTGAATATACCTGTTTTGTGGTTTACACTTAAGAACCATGTAAATGTTTTATATAATTAAAAGACAAAATTAAACAAAAAGATTGATAAAAAGAAGGAAATTTCTGAAAATTGAAAACAACCTGGTATCAAGTTTGTGGTGTAACTCCTCAGAGAAGAAATATTTCAAGTGCTTTTAAATCACAGTATTTTGACAGTTTGGGGATATATTTTAGGCACAAAAATCAACCCCATTAAGAAACCTTAAACTGCATTCAGTTTTCTTGTTGTCAATGTTAATATTTGCATCACTGAGTTATTTTTCCTTAATTTTTTTTTTTTTGTGAGGAAAATTGGCCCTAAGCTAAAATTTGTTGCCAATCTTCCTCTTTTTTTTTTTCTCCCCAAAGCCCCGGTGCACAGCTGTATATCCTAGTTGTAAGTCCTTCTTGTTCTTCTGTGTGGGATGCTGCCACAGCATGGCTTGATGAGTGGTATGTAGGTCTGTGCCCAGGATCCAAACAGGTGAACCCAGGGCCACCGAAGTGGAGCATGCAAACTCAACCACTCTACCACTGGGCAGGCCCCCCCAATTTTTTTATTATGCTAAAATACACATAACATTTACTATCTTAACCATTCTTTGTGTGTGTGAGGAAGATTGGCCCTGAGTTAATATCTGTCATCACTCTTCCTCTTTTTGCTTGAGGAAGATTGCCCCTGAACTAACACCTGTGCCAAGCTTCCTCTATTTTGTATGTTGGACACCGTCACAGCATGGCTTGATGAGTGGTGTGTAGGTCCATGTCCAGGATCCAAATCTTCGAACCCTGGGCCTCCGAAGCAGAGCTTGTGAACTTACCACTGCACCACTGAGCTGGCCCCTATCTTCACTATTTTTAACTATACAGCTCAGTGGTATTAAATACATTCATATTTTTGCGCAACCATCACCACCATCCCTCTCCAGAATTCTTTTCATCTTGCAAAACTGAAACATTATATCCATTAAACAATAACTTCCCATTTCCCCTCTCCCCAGCCTCTGGCAATCACCGTTCTACTTTCTTTTCTTTTCTTTTCTTTTTTTTTTTAAAGATTTTTGTCTTTCCTTTTTCTCCCCAAAGCCCCCTGGTACATAGTTGTGTATTTTTTCAGTTGTGGGTCCTTCTAGTCATGCCATGTGGGATGCTGCCTCGGCATGGCTTGAAGAGCACTGCCATGTCTGTGCCCAGGATACAAACCGGGAAAGCCCTGGGCTGCTGAAGCAGAGCGTGTGAACTTAACCACTCAGTCATGGGGCCAGCCCCACCATTCTACTTTCTGTCTCTCTGATTTTAAAGTACCTCATATAAATGGAATCATACAGTATTTGTCTTTTTGTGACTGGCTTATTTCATTTAGCATAATGTCCTCAAGTTTCATCCATTTGTAGCGTATTGCAGAATTTCCTTCCTTTTTTAAGGCTGAATAATATTCCATTGTGTATGATTTTATACCTATTTATAACCCTATAGCTCACATTTTCCTTATCCATTATTTATTGGTGGTCACTTAGGTTGCTTCCACATTTTAGCTATTGTGAATAATGCTCCTATGAATATAAGTGTATAAATATTGCTTCAATATGCTGCTTTCAATTCTTTTGAGTATATTCCCAGAAGTGGAATTGCTAGATCACATAATTCTATTTGCAAATTTTTTAATGGCTTGCTTTTAATTTAATTAGTTTTGACCCTTAAGCTTTTAAAAGTGGAATCAATCAAAAGGCAAGGGTGTAGGGGGATGATTTTCCAACACTTCTCCTGTAAACTCAAATTCTAGATTCTTCTTTGGAGTAAAACAGGCTCTTCACTGTTTACAAACTTATTTCCAAGTTGCAAAAGTTCTCTCCATGTCTTTCCCTCTATCATCATGTTTTTCTTTTATATTCCCTCATTCAATCTTGGCTGCCACAATCAGACAGAAACCACGAGGACACTTTTGTCTTGCATCTGAGGTGGAAACCTTAGCAGCAGACAGTAACTGCTCCAGGTCTGTCAAACAGATGCATTATTTTTAATTTTTTTGAGGAATCACCATATTGTTTTCCAAAGCCAGGTACCACTTCACATCCCCACCAACAGCGCACACGAGTTTCAGTTACTCCACATCCTCACCAACACTTTGTTGTTTGTTGTTGTTTTTGCTAGTAGCCATCTTAATGGGCGTGAGGTCTTACTGATGTATTTTTGTAAGCCATTTCAAATTCCTTTTGGATCTAGGTGGAATAAAAATAATGCTCAATTTGCTTACAGCCTGCCTGCTCTTCCCCTCCTTTTATTCAAACTACATCCAGCCCTCAAATCCAGCTTTCCCACGCACCCGTTCATTCTTCATTCATCTCCCTTTTCTCTGAGCTCTTGTGTTAATATAATTTTGCACTTTATTTTGATTTGGGGACTACTCACTAGTGTTTCATAAGTATTAGTCTTGTTACCCCAGATTGTGTATTTTTCAGTAGTAGCGACCATGGTTTATACTTTTCTGAATCCTTCAGTGCAATGATATGGTATCAAGAAATGCTTCCTTCTTACAGTGTCATTGTAACAAATGCTCAACTTCTACCTTATTAACTCTCAGAGCACTCAGCACATCCTACTTAGAACTGCAGGAACCTATTTTCGCGTGCAGCAGCTGACACTTGTTTTATCGATCCTGCAGGACTATTCAATCATTCAATTAACATTTCTTGAGCTCCTACATATAGTGTTCTTGAGAAGGCATCCACCTTCGCAACACCCCTTGTGATGAATGCTGACATCCAGGCGGGGTGAGGCCCATTTCTGTTGCAACTTGGGGAAGGGACAGGTAGGATAGGTTTTGGTGTGGGTCCGATACTTGGGGACCACTTCTTCAATAAGTAGGACATCTAGTCTCCAGCCAAAGACAAACCCTGGGTGAAAGGCAGATGCGGAGGATAGCGTATATTCTGGGTTCTAACTCAGGTGATCAGTTTGTCTCGGTTTGCCGGGGACCGTCTTCATTTTAAAACGGAAAGACCAGCATCTTAAAAACCCCGTTAGTTCCAGGAAAATTGGAATGGCTGGTCACCCAAGCTCTAATTCTAACTCCCACATCCCAAGGGGTACGGAGGTAACCCCCATTGCCCTCAGTACACTTCCGGCTGAGAAGCGCGCTCTCACTTTTTCCCCGGCCCCAGCGTCCAGACTACAATTCCCAGCATGCAGCGCGGCCCCTTCCACACAGTCCTCGGCCGCCCTGGCTCTTTCACGCCCGCGTCTTGGTAATATGCGGCGCCTGGGAGCCCGTGCGCGCTGACGTCGACGTGCTGACGCCGTACTCTTCGCGCTTCTTGCTGTTTTCCTTGATCGCCGGAGTCTGGCGGCAGGAGGAGGAGAAGAGTGACAGTGTTTTTGCGGCGGTTTGGCTTTGAAAAAAAGATCTTTAGAATGGCGTTGGCTTAAAAGCTCAGAGGGGTCTGGAAAGGGGCCTCCACTCCTGGCCCTCTTTCTTCCGAGTTTGCGACTCTCCGGTCCAAGATGGACAAAGTCTGTGCTGTGTTTGGAGGCTCCCGGGGCATTGGCAGGGCAGTGGCCCAGTTAATGGCCCGGAAAGGCTACCGACTGGCTATCATCGCCAGAAATCTAGACGTGGCCAAAGCCGCCGCCGGTGAACTCGGCGGTAGGTACCGAACTGGAGTTGTCCAGTTGTGTGGCTGCCGTCCAAGCGCCATACGCGGCCTCGTTTGTAAAACGAGCAGGTCTGGCCTTTATGGCCTTGAGGTGGAGCATTTCGGCTTCCCGCGCGCTGGAGCGTTCCGCCCCGAGGAGCCAGCGGCTGGTGCACAAACCCGGTTTGTGCACGCGCCCGGTTTCCCGCAGAACGCCGAGGGCTGAGCTCTTGGGGTGTCCTTAGGACTTAGCAGTCTTGTGAGGCCCCATTAATAAGCACCCAAGTCCCTGAGGCTAGTGCTAGCCGTGAGGAGCTGCTTTGTTTTGGCGTCTGGAAGGAGAGAGCCACACAAGTTAACTGTTGCTACAGGGTAAAGGTCACCTCCGTGGCGGGATCCTGGGCGCCCAGAGGAGGCAGGGCTGGGCGCAAAGGCTCGCTTCAGTCTTGGTGAGGGCTCTCCTGGCCCGTGTTTTCTTGGAGACAATTTTGAGTACGAGGCGGTTTTGAGATATACTTGGTTTGTTTTACTACATCTATAAGGGCTTAAGTTAATAGATTGTTTTGGTGACTTACAAATGGACAGTTAAGGTTCGTTTTGCCAAGTTTTTATTGCACCTGAACTCCAGTTTTTTTATTAGTAAAGGATTAGTAATTGTTCTGCAAACTGAAGTCTGTTGATGGTAGGGAGAAATGGGATGTTTCAAAGATACCAAGACACCGCTATTTGTGTAGTTACTAAAATGGACAGTTGCACCTCATTTACTATCCGGGAGGCGTTGGGAAGAAGAGAGGCCTGCTGATGTGGCTGTAACCTCTAAAATAACATTATTGATTGGATTCACCACCCTAATGTTGACATGGGTGTAGCGAATGTTAGACTGAAAGAAAAGAACACATGTTATAGACCAGGGAGAATTTGAGTGACTGTCTTGCTGCTCCGATTCGTTGCCGTTATGTTACTGTTGCCCGGGGAAAAACTCACTACAGTTAAAATAGCAGATATTTATTTGGGCAGTTAGAATTGCAATTCGGGAGACACAGATTCAGGTAGAAACCCAAAATGGGCTCGGAGGAAGACAAGGCAAGGGTTTATAAAGGCACAAAGAGGAAAATTACACAGGATGTTTTGTAAAATTTGTGATTTGTGTTGGCAACAACTAACTTGTTCCCCCTATGAGATTGGTTGCTAAGGCCATCTCTAAGGCAGAAAGTTCTTACCTATGGGCGTAAGCATATTTCTTGAAAGGTGGAGATGCCAGTGGTGAAGCACAGTTCAAAAGTTACATTCCACCTGGGTAGTGGTGTTACGCGGGTACCTTAAGGGCCTCCCAGCCCTATTTCAGAAGCCTTGACACGTGTTACTCCATTTTGTCATTGCTGCTGACATTACTATGACAAAGGGGGTGAAAAAATGGTTCTTAAGGGGTCACCCCAAGCCATCAGTGTTTGCTGGACTAGATTAAAACCGTTGGTTGAGCTTTCAAAGGTTGCTGTGGACCCAATAAGTCAGATGAAAGCCAAGAGTGAGACATAGAGCATGCTTTTGAGCCTTTCATTTCCTTGAATTATGTGTTCTGTGAGCGATTGGTTTTTACCCAGAAAGTGTGACTTCTGGGATGACGTACTGTTTCGAAAGTCTTGGGGGGGAAATTTTAACATTAATGTATAGGCAGGGTCAGCCAGAAAATAAGCAATTGTTTAGTTTTTTAAAAAACTATCTTTTAGAGTGTTAAATGGTATATTATTAAATAGAGAATGCTTGCTTTGAAGTGTAATATTTTGGGTATTTAATCCGATCATTTAAAAAACGTGACCATTTAAAAAGAAAGGTTACAGTTTTTAGTAAAAAGTTTTTTTCCCCATGTTTTGTAGTTTAAGCCTTTTTTGCAGCTTTGTGCTTTGTCTCATCTCTCCTGATGGTCGGGCTTGAATAATAGTCATTATAATATATGTGCCATAGTGAAAAAAAGAAAAAGAAGCCCTAGAGTTTATGCTTAGCACCAGGAAACCAATTCAACAAATACCTAACAGAATTAGACATAAATTTCAAAAAAGGAATCTGAAACCCAAAAGCCTTGAATTAAGTAGCATGGGGTCAGTATCAAAGCTTTAAATATTATTAGATGAAACTTAAAAAGCATTATGAACACAAAAAGACCCTCCCCTCACTTTTTGTTGATTAAAAAAAAGTTTTAAGATTTACATTCTCTAGTATTACTGTGTTTCTCCCTAGGTGCCACCCACCCCCATCCCAGTTTTATTAGACTTAGTTCCATGAGAATAGGAACCCATGACATAATCTTCTTTTATCTCTAGGTTCTAGATTAGGAAAGGCCCAGCTCATCGTGGATGGTTAACAGATGTGTACTGAATAATTTTTAAATTCAAGTTACAATTTACAAGTGATTCTAATCTAACTTTGTTGTGTAGGAGATCATTTGGCCTTTAGCTGTGATGTTGCCAAAGAACATGAAGTTCAAAATACCTTCGAAGAGATGGAGAAAAATTTAGGTCCAGTTAATTTCTTGGTAAATGCAGCTGGAATTAATAGGTTGGTCACAAATTTAAGAGCATTTCTAGTATGTCTTTTTTTTTCTAATGTCTTTGATTAGTATGAGTTAATACATTAATTAGCTTGTTTTATTTCCAATTGGAAGAAAAACTCTCTGCATTTAAAATTTGGTCTGTCAATCCATCCATTCTTTTCTTTTGTGTTGAGATATAAAATAAGGGTACAGTTGGATCAGTTTTACCATTGTACTGTAATCAGCACACATATTGAGTGCTAAGTGAATTTCCAGCATCCCAGAATGCGCTCTCAGTTTCTTCCCTATTAATACTTCCTTATAGGTTACCACTATTCTGACTTCTGTCACCACATATGTTTTGTCAGTTCATGAACTTAATATTAGTGGAATCTGAGTGGATATTCTTTTTTTTTAACATGAGTTTAGGATAGACTCTTTAAATAATATATTAATTTCCTTGCTAAACATGGCTCAGTGTGACAGTTGCTTGGTTCGTTCAAGCTATTGTGGCTACATTGCACTACTTTTAGCAGTTAGGAATATTTGCCACTCTGCCTAAGAAGGGGTAGGAAACTGGCTTCCAGGTGGATCCTTTCTGGCTTGTCAGTTGTTATTTTAGTGCATCTCAAGCCAAGTTTAAAATGGGACTCTCTAGGTATTCTAGCTCAAATATGAAGCACTTCTTGTATTCCCCTTTCAGCAAAAATGTTATATATTTGACTTTTTTGGTTTATTTTATCCGTTTTGAATTTACATGCTCTTTTTTTTGGGTAGGGATAGCCTGTTGGTAAGAACAAAAACTGAAGATATGGTATCTCAGCTTCATACTAACCTCTTGGGTTCCATGCTCACCTGTAAAGCTGCCATGAAAACTATGATTCAGCAACAGAGGGGGTCTATTGTTAACGTAGGTGAGTCATCATCTTTGTGACTTTATAACTATCTCATGGAACCATGAAAATATTTAATCGACTAATTTGGCATGTATTCACATGTGAAACTTGGATGAAATGTGTCTCTTTATTATCTATGGGAAAAGGATTTTATTAAATGATTAATGGGTAAAACAAGAATCACAAATTCACGTCCCTCTAGTGATCAAGCAGGTGTTAAATGAGTGACACCACCAGGTATTAGAAACATGACAGCACAAGCGACGTGATAAATGACAAAAGATGGCCAGCTTTGATGTCCAGAGGCCTTATGAAATGGCAGGAGCAACCACTGCCCAGATCCAGTAGATTGTTGCTGTGCACAAGTGTGGTCCTGTGTTTTGCCAGCTGTTTTGATTTTTTAAGAGAAATTGGACATTCTGATTTTTATAGGAAACCTAATTTTTAAAATAGACAAGGAATTGAAAAATTTTAGATAGTGGGGGCTAAAAAATGATGTCTGTTGCAGTTGCATGGGTCAGTGGTAAATCTAAAAGATTTGAGAGGAGGTTTTTGTAAGGAAACACTTTGTCAATTTTTTAGGGGTAAGTAACTCCTAGTCTTCAGTTCACCTGACCTGTAGGTCGGATAAACCGTGTAGTATGTGCCTGTAGACCATAAAATGCGAAATGACTTGGCATTTTATTTCAGTTTCGTAATTTGAAAATAGTGGTATACCATTTGCCTTTTAATTTGTTTTTCTTTTGGTGAGGAAGTTTGGCCCTGAGCTGACATCTGTTGCCAATCTTCCTGTTTTTGCTTGAGGAAGATTGTCACTGAGCTAACATTGGTGTCAGTCCCCCTCTGCTTTGTATGTGGGATGCCACCACAGCATGGTTTGATGAGTGGTATGTAGGTCTGTGCCCAGGATCTGAACCTGTAAACCCTGGACCGCCAAAACAGAGCATGTGAACTTAACCACTATGCCACTGGGCCAGCCCCTACCTTTTAATTTTAAGTGGTAATACCTTGAAAGGCTACAAAAGGGGGATGCTGCTCTGTTAAAGCAAATGACCATATTCTTTTTAACATGGGAAATGGCTTTCCAATTCCAAGAATATAGAGTTTTTCTCTTTGAAAATGAGAAAAGGAAAGAATTCTGTGCTAATAAGTGTTAGAACATTTTGACATTTACCCTTAAAAATGGAAAAGATCGTATTTTCTTATAAAAGATTAGTAAAAGACTTGACCTTTGTCTTCTAATACAGCCAGATAATGATCTTGGGTTCTTGTAAGCTGGTATTTGGCATGGATATGTATCACCTGATAATGTGCGCTGTATTTATGTAACTCTAAAATATCCCCTAAATACATATATTTTAAAAACCCACGTCAGTCCTTTGCATACATGCAAATCTTTTAGAATTGTGCTAACAGTAGGTAAAAATAGATAATTGAAAATATTATTACAGAAAGGACTACTTTAAACTGCTAGAAAGTTCACTGATATTTCAGAAGTTACCGCTTTTTGACCAGATAAACAATAGTGTGTGGCATAAACCAAAGCTTCCAAAATTTGTTTGGCTTTTCTTCCATGCCTGTATTTTTCTTTCTTTGTGTCTCTCCATCCTTTTCTCCCAAATTCCCCTTTCTCTGTTCACCTATATTTCATCTGTCTGATGTCTCTTTTTTCTCTGTGCTTCACAATTCCTTTCCTTTGTCATAACTGGCATATATAATAATATATAATGTAGATAAATATTTTAATATTTGATTTGTTGATTATAATATAAAGTGTTTGGAATGTTTTCTTTTTCTAAAATAAAATCACTTTTTCAAAAATTTTGTGATGTTCTTGATAAATTTTTATATCGTAAGCACAGGTCATTGGTGCAGAAAATTACTTCCCCACTTCTGTTCTGCAAGAATTTATTTGCACAGTTGATATTGGAGTTATAAATTATTCTTTCATATTCATATAAATGAGGCAACTCAAGAATCTTTAGTAGGCACTACAAGTTCACTGAAGATAAGTAAATTGGAATTTTACAAAAAGTTTATAAGCTTTGAAGCTTTGCTAATTTAGATTGCCAGTAGTTCAAAGTTAGTGGGCTTTACCTTCAGATGATCTGTTTTTGTAGATGGAAATGAGTACTTCTTTATGTCTGTGTTGTAGAATCATAAAATTAATCAGTCTCTACCTGACTTTTGGTTTTAACCTCTTCCTACTGGAAGCCTTTATAAATAGAATTTTCATCATGTCTGACCTACTCAGAGATGAGTGTGGGTTCCTTTCACTTAATGGATGAAGTCTCAAGCCCCCACCTGGCATTTGAGGTTTTTGTAAGCTTCTTTCCGATCTTCTTTTGTGTATATATCTGGAGCAGGCTCAGACCCCTAAGACTTACTACTCAAATGACAATGGTTAGAATTCCTAATTTTAGCAAAGGATAAGGTAAAATGGTTTGTACCATTTTTGTTTGTTTACTATAAATTATCTGAATATTCACATAACCACTTTAATTGGTTTGAATTTGCTCTCATTTTTTTTTCTAGGAAGTATTATTGGTTTAAAAGGCAATTCTGGCCAGTCTGTGTACAGTGCCAGTAAAGGAGGATTAGTTGGATTTTCCCGTGCTCTTGCTAAAGAAGTAGCAAGGAAGAAAATTAGAGTGAATGTTGTTGCACCAGGTCAGTGAAAATTCTTTTTCTATTAAAACATAATTTATGTACATTTATGGCTTTATACAATAATAGCAAAGATTGTTCTTGTGTCTGTAAGTGCATTGGCGCCATCGGGCACTTGTCAGAGAGGATCAGAACAGGAACGTGGAATCCACGCTGTTACTAAACTTGAGTAGTGAAATGCAGAAGGATGTGACTGTGTCCCAACAGGACTTACATGGCCACAGCTGGCCACACTGCCAGGCCCTGCACCACCCTCAAGGAAATGGCCAAGGGTAATTCCAGGCTGTTTTGTTGTGTAAACCGCTTTGCATTTTTTTTTACTAAATGATTACTCCCAAACTAAGAACCATAATAATGTTCTTATTTAAAAATCAGTTATAAATTAAGAACTCTTAAGAGCTGAATGTAAGGATTTCAAGTAAGTGGTGTAGGGGTAGGGGGAGAGTATTGGTAACATATATCCTGCAGTTGAACAAATCCAAATTGTATACCTTTGGAGAACTGTTTCCATTTGAAGTGTCCTTCTCTTCTTGAGACGTCCTGTTGGTTTACTGCTCACTGGGATACAACATTTGCTGATTAATTTAGACTTTGTGAACGCAGAACTTTCCAAGGAATGCATCCATTACCTAAATATATTTTATATATCTGTATTACAGAAACAATGTCTCTTTATATTTAAAGTATCTGGGGGCTGGCCTGGTGGTGTAGTGGTTAAGTTTGCATGCTCCACTTGGGCACCTTGGGGTTAACAGGTTCAGATCCCAGGCGCAGACCTGCACACCACTCGTGAAGCCATGCTGTCGTGGCACCCCACATACAAAAAATAGAGGAAGATTGGCACAGATGTTAGCTCAGTGACAGTCTTCCTTAAGCAAAAAGAGGAGGATTAGCAATAGATGTTAGCTCAGGGCCAATCTTCCTTGCCAAAAAAAAAAAAAATAAATAAATAAATATCTGAATAGCTCTATAGTACAATATGCTTTTAATAACAATACAAACCAGAGGAAATAAACAAGGATGCAAAGGTGATATCATTTGCACATTTCACAAAGCAATCATGTACAATAACTGATAGACTAATTACTCCAGAAAGTCAGTATTTAGACAGAAAAAGAATTGCCAGAAGTTATATAATGTTTATTTTCAAAATAGATAAGATGCGTTTCAGTGGATTTCATTGTACCCTAGAGAGCTACCCAGGATTTGTGTTAGAATTTTAACACAAAAATTCGATGGAATCTTTGTCCTAGCTTACTATAGATATTTAAGAATTGATTCCCTATATAAGAAAAGACATTTTATTTTGCTTCATTGGTTGGTTGTAAGAAAGTATAGGCTGAAGTAGACCGTTGCCACCTTTCCATTTCAAGTCACTAAGGGCTCCCGCTTGGACCGAAGAGTTGGTGTTGTATTTGGCGCTGATGTTGAACCAGCGGGGATCAGGGAATTGTCCAAATGTCCTGAGAACCCTTTTGCACTATAATGTGCTGCCTTCCCAATTCATTGTTTAGTCGCAGAGACTAGCTAAATTCAAGCATTCCAAATCCATAAACATTTGATAAATGACTATAATTTAGATACATCCATTTTTTGAAAAAAAAAAAATGAAAAAAGATAATCCAAAAGCTGCACTGTCATCTTGGTGCTGTTTTCTGCTTGTGTATGCTTTGTGCAATTTGATTGATTTTCTTGTTAACCTGGTTTAACTATATATAGAATAGATTGTTTGTGGTTTGGGACTGCTTGTATTTATTTACTTCCCTCTCGTTTAGGGATTGGAATAGTATGTGTAATGAAGAGTTAATTTCAGCTCATGATCATTTAAAAGCTGGATGGTTTCAGGGTAATGAAGGTATTCCTAACACATAAGAACTCATTCAGCTGACTCCCTGGAGTGTCTCCTATATGCAAGAAGTGTGCCAGTTTCCAAAATTACAAAAATGAATAAAATATTTCTGCCACAAGGAGATAAGTACAGTGGGAAAGACAGATATAAACAAATAATTTCAATGCATGTGATGAATGTAAAGTAGGGGTACGTATGTGATGCTATGGAAACGCTGAAGGAGGAATGCTTAATTTTATTAGAGTGAATTAGTTGCCAAGGCAACAGGCTAAATAGTGGGAATCCAGTTTGTATACAACGAGAGGTTTTATGAGTGTTCTGGAATTGTGTTCGTATAGCCTTTCTTAAAGATCTTACTTTCCAGTGTGATTTATACTACAGAAAAAAACCTCTTGCTGAAAGTGTGGCCGTTTAGTAAAGAAACCTTTATTTTATTTTGGCTGTATATATTTAGCAGATTTCATAGTATGAATATGTTTCATTGGTCAGAAGCACAGTGCAAATTGAAATAGTAGAATTAAATTGATTCTATAGAACTATTTAACTTTGTTTTAGATAGTAATTTCAGATTCTTCTCCGGATCTTTTAATAGAGCTGACAAACATCAGAATTAACAATATATCTCTTTATGTCAGTTTTCCTGATCACCTTCAAATGGAGTTTCCAGTTAAGGAAAACAATTAAAAAGCAATTCAATACAGGAAAAGTAAGGAATAAGGGAAATAATAAATTAGGCTGTCATCTGCTGCCTAATGTTGGTGACTTTTTGAAGATCAAGTAGTTGCTAAGTTTTGGTATTACTTTCAGTATAAAATAAATTTCTCATCATGGATAAATCTTGCTGATTGGAAAATATTAAATGTAAGAAACATAATATTTGATAAAACTGTAATGGGTACTTTACTTCAAAAAAGATATATGTTTTCAATAGATAATACAAACATATGGTACAAAATTCTAAAGTACAGAAAGACAGAGTGAAAAGTGAGTCTTCTCTAGGCATCCAGTTCTTTTCCTCAAGTGCAACCACTGTTAACTGGTTTCTTCTGTATTTCATATACAAGCCAAGAAAATGTGTGTGTATATATATATATATATAATTATATATATTTAAATATATTAATATATATTATATATGATTTTAATATATATAATTTTTTTAAGAAAACCCAAATTGTATCATATTATTCACAATGTTCTATACCCTGCTTTATTCATAGAACAATGTATCTTGGAGTTGATTCTATATTATTCTGTATAGAACTGCTTCACTTTTTAAAGTAACAGCTTTATGGAAGTATAATTCACTTACTATACAATTCACCCATTTGAAGTGTATAATTCAGTGGTTTTAGTATGGTCACAAAATTGTTCGATTACCACAGTACATATTAGAACATTTTCGTCATCCCCAAAGAAATCTCATAGCCATTAGCATTCGCTCCAATGCCCATTTCCCTCCAATCTTCCCAATACTGGCCATCACTAATCTACTTTTTGTCTCTATAGATTTCCCTATTCTGGACAGTTCATATAAGTGGAATCATGTAATATGTGGTCTTTTGTGACTGCTCCATCACTTTTAATAGCTGAGTTAAAAGACAATAATGTCTGTTTTATGGGTGTACCATAATTTATTTAGCCTGTTGCCTCTTGATAGGCATTTAGGTTGTTTCTGATCTTTTGCTGTTATAACTAATTATGCAGTGACAATACTTGTACATAATTTATTTTGCATATGTGCGACTATGAGTGTAATCCTGGGAATGAAAATGCCAAGGCTCAAAGAGTATATGCATTTAAATTTTTGACAAATCGTATCCATTGCATTTGTTTCTGTAGGGTGCCTTAAGTGTTTTGCTCCCTCTCCACCTTTTTTTTTTTTTAAGTTGAAGAGCTTCTATGTTTACTACTTGGAGAAAATCTTGTTGACAAATGCTTGCATAAGTTTGGTCGTTACTCAAAACAGGTGTTATTCCAGGTGCTCTTATGTGCTTTTTGATATGGAGTTGATTTTTCACACCACTTCCCTATACACTTTTACAAACATAATATTAAGACATACAAATTTGTTCTGGTTAAAATCTTGGTCTTAGGACCAGCCGCATGGTGGCCAAGTGGTTAAGTTTGCGTGCTCTGCTTCAGCAGCCCGGGATTTCGCTGCTTCGGATCCTGGGTTTAGACATGGCACCGCTCATCAGGCCATGCTGAGGCGGTGTCCCACGTAACAACCAGAAGGACCTACAACTAGAATATACAACTAGATACTGGGGGTGCTGTGGGGAGAAGAAGAAGAAGAAAAGAAGATTGACAACACATGTTGGCTCAGGCGCCAATCTTTAAAAAACAAAAAGTGTTGGTCTAGTTTTTGGCAGCAGCCTTGTTTCTTCTTCCTTAAAAAAGTATCTGGGATTATGTTAATTCTTTCTAGGTCCTAGAAATTTATACTAGGGAAGGGACGTCTGAGCTGGTGGATATATCAAATATTGCACATCCTACAGTTGTTGATACTGGTGATGTGCTAAAATCCTGATGTCTTATTTAAATATAAAGTCTCTGCTGTGTATAAAAATGTTCAGAACTAAAATAGTGACCTATTAATATGGAAATGAGATGCTATTTCTTTATACTAAATAGCTACCCAAAAATGGATAAAGGAAATACATTTCCTTTAGAGTTTACTAAACATAAATTCTCATTAGACAAGAACCATGCGCTTGCTTTTATAAGCCAGAACATCCCTGTTCCTAGAGTTCATATTTTTTAAAAAATATGCTGAGTGTGTTGTCATGTATACAGAACTAAAGTAGAAGTCTCTTTATTCTAAGTTAGTTGGGCCCCTGTCATTTCAGTTATCTGTGTATTGGTTTAAGGAGTGATAGTTTTGTAGCCAGCTAGAAACCTCCACCTGTCCAACAAGTGATCAGTAATAACATCATTTGTTGGATAGTGGCACCTACTGGTAGTTTGTAATTTTTATAGCCCAGCTTGAAAGGCACTGTAAATATATATGTAGTAAAATGAGGAGTAGAGCAAAATTTCCAGAACTTTACAAATAAAGTGAAAGAATGCTACGGAACAGAGTTCTGTGGGGCCAAGGAGAGAGAGCACAAACTAGAAAGCAATACAAGAACAAAGATGGGGGTGTGGAATG